GTAAGGATGAGGCTGGGAACCAGCTGCTCCAGTCCGGGCAGCCAGCATGCAGGCAACGCGGGCTCGTCCCCTCTCCGCATTTTCGCCCCAACCGTGCGTCCTGTGGAGGAGGGGTCTCATCCCTCCCGCAGGCAGAGACGGCACTGAGGGCGACTGAGGGCGGACGACCCGGTTCCGCAAGCACCTAGGTCAGCGCCTAGGTCGAGAGGCTGCTTCCGCAACACGGCGAGTGCAACCTTTTCGCCCACGGGCAGTCCGTAGGCCTGAGCGATCTTCCGTTCTGGGCCTGGGGCATGTTTGGTTGACGCGTTGCAGAGAAGAGGAAGAGGTCTCGGGCCTCTTGAGGACTAGACTGTGCATCCCTGAAACCACGCGCGGGGAAAACACGACTCATCGAGCGCGGTGGGGAGGCATTCGAATGCAACGGTGGCGGGCACGCCTCTTCCCTTTTACCCGGCCACGCGGTGAGGATATTGGCGTTAGAAGTTGGTAAAATTCGAAACCAAAAGTTCGTGCTGGGTTGAGATGTTGTGCACGAGCAAGCGAACTGGTGGCTGACTGCTTGGGCTGTGTTTGGTGGAAGCCACGTGCAAGTCACCTACCATGCGCTGAAGCTTACCCAAGACTCGCCGCCCCAGTCTTCTATCAGCGCCATTTATAGCAAACTTTCTCCAGCCTCTGCAAAAATGTCCTGCTGAACAATCGCACCTCAAAAGTATTAGACTGAAAGCCAAAATTCCGGCCAAAGCGAGCGGCTGGCTCATCAGATGCTGCGATCTTACTACGCTGAGAATCTGGAGAACAAGTTGGGTTCCGTACTGCTAGGTCCAGGCACAGGTTGCTCGCCTGGTACTCATGGCTCCAGCAGTTGACTTGAGATATTCAACAAAGTCCAGATATGTTCAGCTATTCCTCGTTGGCCTCCTCGTGCACGTTGCAGACAGTGCAAAGCAGACGATTTTCCGAACCCCTTGATTTATCCATCAATCACAGCATCGAGGGCACTGCTGCTTCGTTCTCACAACCCCACAGCCCCTCCCCCGCACCCCACGCCACGCCCCATCTTTTCGGATGCCTTGAACAAGTTTGTTCAACAGGAAGCTGCGGGATGACTTGCTCGTCCGCTGGAGGGCCGCTTCTGTCTGGCGTCGTCGGCACGGCGGCCCCTATATACATGTCCTCGGGCTTTTCTGAGCCGACGGCCCGATGCCGGACCTCATCGGAGTATTTTGTTCCTTGAGGTTTGGGTTCCCGACCCTCCCCAACCCAAGAACCCCGCAGTAAAGGGGTAAGAAACAAACATCATGGCCAACAAGATCACCATTACGGGATGGACAACACGAGATGTGCGCTTCCCCACGTCGCTTGACAAAACGGGCTCGGATGCCATGAACGCCGCTGGTGACTACTCAGCGGCGTACTGTATTTTGGCAACCGATTCGGCCTTCAGTGGCCATGGCATGGTACGTTCTCCCTCGATTGCCCCGCGACACACTGCCAACCTCTTTCTCTGCTAGACGTTTACCATCGGGCGCGGCAACGACATCGTCTGCGCCGCAATTGCCCACGTCGCAGAGCGCATCCAAGGTCGGACGCTCTCCAGTCTCGTCGCCAACTGGGGACAAACATGGCGACACCTCGTCAATGACAGCCAACTGCGGTGGATTGGGCCGGAAAAAGGAGTCATCCACCTGGCGCTGGGCGCCGTGGTCAACGCAGTATGGGATCTCTGGGCCAAGGTTCTCGGAAAGCCCGTATGGCGCATTGTTGCCGATATGACGCCCGAGGAGTTCGTTGAGTGTATCGACTTCCGCTACATCACGGACGCCATCACCCCCTCCGAGGCGATCGAGTTGCTCCGAGATACTCTCCCCGGCAAGGCTGACCGGATCCGTGATGCCGAAGCGTCCCGAGCTGTGCCAGCCTACACCACCAGCGCAGGCTGGCTTGGCTACGGGGAGGACAAGATGCGCGATCTTCTCAAAGAAACCCTCGCCAAAGGCTACAAGCACTTCAAGCTGAAAGTCGGTGGCGATGTGGAGCAGGACAAGCACCGACTGACCATTGCTCGCGACATCATCGGTTACGATTCCGGGAATGTCCTCATGGTTGACGCGAACCAAGTTTGGTCCGTCCCAGAAGCGATCGAGTATATGAAGCAGCTAGCGCAGTTCAAGCCCTGGTTCATCGAAGAGCCCACCTCTCCCGACGACATCCTCGGGCACAAGGCTGTGCGCGATGCCCTCCGCCCCTATGGAATTGGTGTCGCCACCGGCGAGATGTGCCAGAACCGTGTTATCTTCAAGCAGCTTATCATGGCAGGCGCCATCGACGTGTGCCAGATTGATGCGTGCCGTATGGGGGGCGTGAATGAAGTCCTAGCCGTGATGTTGATGGCGAAGAAATACGGCGTACCTATCGTTCCCCACTCGGGAGGTGTCGGTTTGCCCGAATACACGCAGCATTTGAGTACGATCGACTATGTTGTGGTGAGCGGGAAACTGTCTGTGCTGGAGTTTGTTGATCACCTACATGAGCATTTCCTGCACCCCTCCGTGATCAAGGATGGGTTTTACCAGACTCCAATGGAGCCGGGGTACAGCGTTGAGATGAAGCCCGAGAGCATGGATCGGTATGAATTCCCGGGAGGGGAGGGGAGCTGGTGGAGGACGGAGGAAGCACGGCCAATTTTGGAGGGCCCCAAGATATAGGAAGGGTCAGCTGGTTCGAACAAGTGCTGCTTGAAATTATACAGATGAAAGATTTTCTCGTAACGCCAACGTGCCTTCCTCTTTCCACTTTCCAAGTCTCATCGACTCTTGAATCCAGTGCCACACCTTCGATTTCTTCCTTTCACCACCAAACTTCTCTTCCCCGTCCCACATCCAGGCGGTCCATCGCAACCGCAGTACCACCTTCCCAACTCAAACATCGGTACCGCTAACTTCGGCATCAATTTATTTCCATCATTTCTCCAACAGCCCAGCTCGGCAACGAAATCAGGAAGCATGGATTCACAAGACGATTACATTCCATGGGGAAGCTCAGTTGAAGGTACGTATCTCCGCTCTCACAAGTCAACGGGTCACCAAAGGAGTCAAATGTTGACTCCCACACCCTGAACCTCTGGAAGAGGCATCTCTGTCTTGGACGCATTCTCCTCCAAGCGCCCTCCTTCCTACATCTCGATTGTTTTCCCTCGAACCACTTCAGTTGTGTTGAGTAAATTCCACGCGGCACTTGTCTTTGACCCCCTCTCTGTCCGAAATTGGTATTCACGTAACTGATCGTACTTTGCAGCTCAACCAAGCAGCTCCGCCTATCAAGCATCTGCTTCGGACGCCGACACGGACAACACGTCAGACACCGGTTCGCTTGGGTCTATGATAGATTTCATCGCTGATGAGCCTGATAGGGAGCTGTGTGACGGGTCGGAGGAATATGTGCCTAGTGAGGAGCAGGATGAGCAGGCTGTTGGGGGACAGCATGAGAAGCCTGACGGGGAGCTTGATGGCGCCCTGACTAATGCTCACGAGCCGGGTCTGGAGATCATTGGGACGCAGCGGGACCTTTTTCAAAAGGCGTTCGATTGGATCTTGGAGCTCAGGCAGGCGGACAATCGGCTGAAGGTGGCCACTGAGGAGCTCGAGAAAAGGATTGAAGAGGCCTCCAACAACCCGTCGACGTCGCCTCGTGGAACTTCTCCAAGGCCTCAACTTGAGCTCGCGAGCTCTCATGCCAAGCGAAAGAGCTGCTGTTTGGAGCCCCACCGGCCCAGAAAGAAGAGATCAATGAGCATTCAAGCGAGAAGGGCGAGCTGGCTCCGCACAAGAAACCCCACAGCAGCGACTCCATGCACTGGTCGACGTTTCCGGCCCAATAGGGCGAAGAAAGCCCTGCCTACGTCATTCGATGATATCGAATCCCAGTCAGATGACGTGATTATGGCTGTAACTCGAGAGGAGAAGACCGCTCAAGGAAGCGGTAACACTTCCGAGCTGACCGGACCGGCGATTCAGACCAACGAGATTGCCGGGTCAACAGGTTTTCATTCTTCATCCTCCTGGTCACCAGAGCCTGATGGCAGTCGTGAAGCAGCGCCGATGACAGACTTCGGACCGGATCTTCTCGAGGCGGATCCCCTGGCGGCCACGTCTATTTGGGCTAGTTCCGTATCTCTGGAACAAGAATCGTCAAATGAGGGCGACATCGCAGAGTGGGATACTCTTGAGCCGACCGATTCGCCGCCCCAGGTCACCTCCGAGTCGACAGGGCAGCAAGAGGTGGCGACGTCGACATGGCTCGGTACATTCCACCGCAAGATTTTCGGTCTTTGAGCCCGGCCGATAAACCCGAGGCGTAGGCCCTAGTTTTGTTTTGCGAACCCTCCCAAGTTTATGACGAGTGGGCTAGTGAGAGGGTGGGATATGGTTCCCTTTGAGAAGGCCAAGCGGGGTATGAGCTCGCATCGCGGCCTTTGCTTTATTGGAGGATCGGGTCGTCAGATTGCGTCGCAGAGGTTCCTACTCTTGATTTACAATGCCCTTCTCATCAGGAGGAGACCAGGGAACACGGCAGATATGCCTCTCATATTTTGGTATTTTGGACGGCAGGACTTGAAGTAGTTTTGGGCAGTTGCTGTGGTAGCCGGATTTACGAGAAACATCAAGGGCGAAGATTCAAGAGAAGTTCCCAAGGTCTCGAGGGTGGTCACGAATATCTCGTTGGCGGCACCCATCATTACGCTCCTCTGCCCTCCTTTCTTACTTCATCGTATCATTACATACTAGGAGTTTTACACAAGTCAGAACTGCCTCTCTAGACAGCCATAGTCATTCACATGGCACTGAATTCATTACTTTCGTTCATGTACGAAGCAATCTCACGCCCACAAGTGGGCCCAACCCCGACCCTTTTACCCCCTCCCCTGTCTACCATGAGATCTAAGAAAAAGGACAAAAAAGAGCAAAAAGAATATGGCAATCTACTGCCGGGAATTGAGCCCGACGTGAGGGTCGGACCTAGATGATCTCGTGAGATGATCTCATGAGATTGCTGAAGTCCGAGTCAGGTATCTTCATAAGAGTCTCACGCTCTACCGATTGAGCTAGCCGGGCGTGTGCCTGGTTGTTGATGGTTTGTGGGAATGCGAAATTGGACTTTGTGTGGGCTGGATGTGGATTGAGGTGTGAGTTGTGTGGTGGAGATGATGTGGATGGGGGAACAGGAGCAAGTGGTCAGGGCTGGGTTTGTTGGTGTCAGGGCTGCTAGTTGGGATGATTCAGGGGCAAGTTGATCATGTCTTTGCCCTCATTGGCACCGTCTGAGGTTGGGGAAGACCATCGGAATGTGAACCACCTCTTATTGGTCTCAATGCATGGATGCCCAACGAATGTGTTAGGTATTGATTGGGGATGTTAGGTATTGATTGGGGACATTTTTTTTAATGCCCATCGGACTCACTGCAATTTTGGCATCGCGCGAGAGGTTTAACTCGGCCAGATATGCTCCAGCAATTCCACTCTCGGGCGAGATACGGCCGACTTCCCTTCTCCTTGTAAACCCACAGCCTTCCCCACCCTTGACCACATTTTATCTGCAAGACATCATCGACCCCAACAACCTCAGAAACAAAAGTCCCATTCATGAATTCGGGTACAACACCCGCTTCGCTCCAGGAACAGCCCCTGGCCTGCAGCTCGCCGTACCCGAAACATAGGCACTGATTAATACATAATCCTCGCAAGTCTACTCCCTTGCTTCCCATCTCGGGCAACCCAAGCAAAGCCGACCCGTCCCAGTTTTCCCTGACCGCTTATAATAAGCCCATTCCATGAGTCCCATACACCCCAAACGCCAAACAAATGCCAAAGCTCAATGCTTCATAACAACCCCTTTCCCCTATCTCCCCCTATATTCCCCTTGCTACCCCCTCATCTCAGCCCCAACCCCCACATCAAAAGCCTTCACCAACCCCATCGCCGCCGCCGCCGCCGCCCCTCCCACAACAACCATCTGCACTCCCCCAAACACACATTTCCTGACCGCCCTCGCCCCCTCCCACCCAACCACCACCCCCGTCTTTACATAACCAAACAAGAACAAAGCCACCGCCATGACCCCAACCGAGATGTACAACCCCTCCATCAGTTTCCCCTCCCCGGAGCCCACGCAAAAGTACGGAATCAGCGGGAGCAATCCCCCGAGGAAGTACGCCAACGCAATCGTCAATGCCGAGGTGAGCGCGCGCGACGAAGAGGGTGATTCAGCACAGTGCTGGAAGCGCATGAGGAAGTCGATTAATTTCGGGGAGGCAGACATGTGATCCGACACCGAAGTGAGGAGCTCCGGGGGAAGGTCATAAGGAATAAAGACGGAGCGGATAGCGGAGAGGGAGAGGGTGGGGGAGGAGGTGGTTAGCGCGGTGGTTTTCAGGAGGGTTTCATTGTAGGAAGCAATCTCGGCTTTGGCGCCGAGGTAACCGCCTAGGCCCATGGATATGGCGCCGGCGATGAGTTCAGCGAGACCGCCGAAGATGACGACTTTGGTGTCGCCGAGGGCGGAGAGGCCAGCGGTTAGGGCGAAGGGGACGGTGAGGCCATCGGAGAGACCGATGGTGGCATCGGAGAGGATTCGCGCGGTGACTTGGAAGCTGCCGCGGCGGGTGGTGTCTTGGGATTCGAGGTCAACGATGGTTGCGGTTGAGCCGTGGCTGCTGCGGCGCTCGGGGCTGGATGTGTCGGAGGGGGGAAGCTTGATGACGCCCTCGCGCGGTTGGGGTATCCGGAAGAGGGAGTTTTTGAGAGCTACTAGAGACATTCTGGAGATGTGTCGAGTCGAAGGTGAGGGAGGAATCCCAGAGTGAAATATCGGGGGTAAGAAGTGGTTGTAGGCTTGCAGGGAAATATCGAGAGCTGTGGGATAATTTTGCGCCAGAGGAGCGCGGGTCGGGAGTGCAAACACCGGGAAGGAACAAGTAGACGGGAGTCTCCGCTCCAGGTCAGGTACTTTGACTCTTGCTTCAGCGATGAACACGGAGAGGTTACGTGTGTCGCGTGGCTCTCTTGCTTGTGCGCTCTCTGGTGCAACAGTTGATGGTAGAGGATTCGTCCTGTTGGGCCTGGGTTATGTACACAGAAAAAGTACCCCGGTCCATACCCATTCTTTGTTTCGCCCTTGGATCACTACGTCGTTAAAAGCCTGCTACCGCCTTCCCGTGCGGTGTGTTTCGCAGGTCACTTACACGCTGAGTGGCGAATCAGGGGCGGTAGATGTAAGCTGGATTAGAAGCGCTGTGATTGGTCAATGGCGGGTGATTCACCCCCCCCTTCTTTCTTCCACCTTCTCTCTCGGATGGAAGCTTCGTCACAATTCTAATTGGAGGTTCCAACTTGCGGCGCAAAGCTTGATGAAATTAAGCTCGGTCAGGGACATCATGACAGATAAAACCTCCAGCTGTTGACATTGCCCTGGTTCTCATTGGTTGCAAAAAGTCGTTTCCCACGAGGCAGCCCCGATTTGTTGACCCTTCCCAAGCCTCTGGATCGGTTGCACAGCACAGCACGACAGGTATTTTCCTCCCAGTTGCAAAAAGCAGCAACGTGGATTATGTTGGATGAGAAGACTGGCCATTACATACAACTCCCTACCCCTTCACAACCATTCCTAACCTCTGAGTCCCTTACGCCTCACCGCCCCACGTTCACGATCCCTCGCATTCCCCGATTGACTTTTGCCTGCAGATATTCATGATCCGCCCTCCCTCTTGGCATACTCGTCCTCCATCCTCTCCTCATACAGCCTGTCCGCCTCCAGCTCGGCCTCGGTCTTGGGTCTTGTTGTCCCTGCGCCCGTGTTGACTCCGGCTCCGGTAGGACGAGAGTTCTCGTCGGATTGGGGTTGTTGGTTTGTGGGCTTGGTGGTGGAGGTAGGAGAAGGCATCTTGTGGCTCGGGGCGAATGTGATTTTGAGTGTATCTTTGAAGGCCCTTTGAAGTGTGTTTCTTGATGTGATGTGTATTTTGGTACATCTTGAAAATAATATAGCCAATCGACAGGCGAGCTGGAGTCTTATACTATGGAGGAGTGGCAAGCTTGCGTGTGTTGGTTGGTTGGAGTCAACAGGCTACCTCCGCCTAGCTGCTGCGCGGTATGTCAAAATTCGCCACCCATCCATCCGATGTGGGGCTTTGCTCAACATCACCACTTCGACTTTGCACAGATGGCTCATTGCCCCCAAACCTCCTATTATGCGTTCATGAGCATCACAGCTATCTGAAGTATGGCCGTGATTTGAGCAGACACTCTGCTCCATTTCGGGCAGACGATGCGCCCCTGATCGGCCTGGCCCGATTGGTATCAAAATCCAGGAACAAACATGAAGAAAGATTGGTCCTCCCAGAGCCCCGTAAAGCCGCTAAATCAGTCTTCGAGCAACTTAAAGTCGATTGCCCGAAACTCGCAACTCCGGGTCGTTGTCCGCCCGTTCCAAGCAAACAACATCAAGACGACCCACCATCGCCAATGACGTCTCCAAAGAAGGCTCCCATCAAGCACCATAAATATCGACATCCATCCACCCTCCCCCCTGCGGCTCAGCCTGGCCTGTCAAGCTAGCCAACCGGCCAGCCAACTGCTGCCGCAAATTACCATGGTATCTCACCATGTTCTGGCCGTTCTCCTGGGGCTGCTTCTCCGCTAGCGGCTTCGGAGCACGAGTCTCCAACGTCCAAGCCTCCCCGAACACCGCCTTCTGATTCCCGAAAGCATCCACGCCCCTCCCCTTCCTCTCACCCTCAAACTTCTCCCAGATCGCCTCCCACTTCTCCTCCCACGGCTTCCACTCTTCATAATAGTTCACGTCCCTCCGGTTGCTCATCCATCTCCAGTTTGGAAACAATAGCTCTACTTCATCCATCCTTTCCTGCTTCTTCTTGTCATCGAGAAGACCTGTAGGACGGAATAGCAGCTGCTGAGTGTTGAGGTCGAATAGCTGGGGGAGTTCGCGGGTGGGTGTGGTGTTGGGGTCTGCTGCTACTGCTGCTGCTGGAGCGGGGTTGTTGAGGGCGGAGGATAGGTTGAGAACTAGGGTGGGATTCGGCTTCTTGGTTTTGGCGGTGGGCTTCGTGATGGCCTTTGGGGCAGAAGGCTTGAGGACTGAGGGGGGGGAATTGGCGGGAGTGGTGGCGGTGGCAGTGACGCGCTTCGCAGCGGGATGATGGGCGAGGTTGAGAGGTAAGTTGGGGACGAAGCGGCCGTCTGAGTGGTTGTTGAGAGGCATGACTTGAGACTGATCGTTGGCCATGGTCGTTGTTTTGGTATCTGACCGCCAATTGTTGGGTTGGTTGTGCTGATTTGGTGGTAATGTTAGCCAGTCTTCTCAAGGTGAGCGGTACGGGGAAGGAGCTGTGAGCGAATCAAGAAGATGGCGACAGAAGGAAGCGGTATTTCTCATCTCTTTCGTGAGTGAGCTGGAAGCGGATCTGAACGCTCAGAGCTCACACCCGGAGGGGCGGTTTGTTTCGTCACAAGATGCCTTCCTTCTTCCTATCACAAGATGTGATGCTCGAGACGAGTCTCTAAGGTACGCCTTACGTCATGCTCGGCGTGCTCACATCTGAACACACGACACCCCGCGGTGAGCCTATGCCGTGTTGTGAACGGTTATCTGTCCTTTGGACTTAGTCCCAAAGCGTTACTCACCGTGTGATAGATTTCTTGATGCTGGGCCGAGGTCTGCGGGGTGATGAGAAGTGGTGTTGTGGCACCGAAGTAGGATGGTTGTAGTTGTCGTCGTCGAGAAAAGAACTTGAAAGCAGGCGCACCGTGGAGTATGGAGCCAAGAGGGCAGGCCCTAGCTTGTTCTTGCCTAGAAGTGACCAAAGGTTCACATCAGACTGCTAGAGAGGCTCAACAAATATCCCGTGGCCTGTTGGGCGACAAAGTTATTACACCTAATCTAATGCGTCTTCGTCTGGATATCAAAGAATTAAACTTCACGCTCACTGCTGTCTCTATTTCCTCCGAACCTTGAACGTCTTCAAGGGGTCCCGTTTCCTCCCCCCAACCTTGAACGAGCGTCCGCTGGGCTTCCCTCTCTTGTGCCCTCTCTTCTTCTG